GGTGGTATTGTTGGTACTGTTGGTATTGTTGGTACACCCCTTCAGCTAATTACACAAATACCATCTGGTGGTTCACACTTACACTCACTCACCCATTTGACCATAAACAAAATATCAATCTCAATCTAAAATAATGAATCCTAACTAGTCATAAGCTGGCCTGTGATACTCCAATACTGAAACTATGTATTGTGCCAAAACAAAAGCATTCACATTGCTAAACTCACAAACTAGTATTTAGTCACTTAGCCATAATACCAACTTACCTCATAATTTGTAATATTTTAAATTTAAGAATTAATCTAAGTCTGCCTGAAATCCTAGCCATTCTAGGTGTTCTAGTTGTCCCCTCTGTAATTAGTACTTTACTACATGTAAACCACACAATAACCAAATTCTGTAAACTCAGCACTGTAATCCTTATAGAGAATAAACTTTGAATTGAATAATTAAGATGGAAACTAAGTCATAGTATGAGTGTCACAAAATTTACCTGTCCCAATTAATTTGCACATTACTGTATATAGCACATACATATAATTGGTATGTAAAATATGTCAGTCAGTTTTGCCAAGATTTTCATTGGTTATGAAAGTATACCATTTTGAAAAAAAAAAAATCAACAAAATGGCTGTATCCCACCGAAGCAGGGTAACCTAAACAAGAAAAGCAAAAAAAAAAAATTTTTCTTTTTAGTAATGTATACAGGAAAAGGGGTTACTAGCCACTTGGTCCAAGCAATAATTTATATATATATATATATATATATATATCTTCTTCTTTCAACATACCAGCCGTATCCCACCGAGGCGGGGTGGCCCAAAAGAAAAAACTGAAGTTTCTCCTTTTAAATTTAGTAATATATACAGGAGAAGGGGTTACTAGCCCCTTGCTCCCGGCATTTTAGTCGCCTCTTACGACACGCATGGCTTACAGAGGAAAAATTCTGTTCCACTTCCCCATGGAGATAAGAGGAAATAAACAAGAACAAGAATTAGAAAGAAAATAGAAGAAAACCCAGAGGGGTGTTTATATATATGCTTGTACATGTATGTGTAGTGTGACCTAAGTGTAAGTAGAAAGTAGCAAGACTTACCTGTAATCTTGCATATTTATAGACAGACAAAACACCATCAATCCTACCATCATGTAAAACAATTACAGGCTTTCGTTTTTACACTCACTTGCAGGACGGTAGTACCTCCCTGGATGGTTTGCTGTCTACCAACCTACTACCTACATTATATATATATATATATATATATATATATAATATATATATATAATATATATATATATATTATATATATATATTATAATATATATAATATAATATAATATATCACTGCTCTTGTTGGAATTAAATTTTGAATTAAGTTTTTGAGTGGTAGGAACTTGAATATTCATCAGTCATGTGTTGAACATGTGAGATTGAAGTGAGTGGAAATAAGTGTTTGGGTATTTTACATTTATGAAATATAGAAAAGCTGATTAGCTGGAATTGAGTTCTGGAGTGGGATAAACGGTGCTGACACTGACAGTTGGGTAAGGATGATTTGACTCGGGTGTAGTGCAGTTCTGGAAAATAACTATTGAACGAGTGAATGACGAATGTGTTTCCTTCATTGTGTCACACATTTTTGGTAGAAAATGTCCAGTTCCACTGACATTTTAGGGAAACTTCAAGCAAAATATGTCAAAATTTTAAAAAATGTAAAAAATATAATAATACCCACCTTAAATCATATTGTCTTATTTTATTTTCTAATTTTTATAGTTAAGCATTTAAAGATTCAAGTACTGTACATGTATCTGTACATACTGTTTTTTTTTTATTATTATCACACCGGCCGATTCCCACCAAGGCAGGGTGGCCCGAAAAAGAAAAACTTTCACCATCATTCCTCACCATCACTGTCTTGCCAGAAGGGTGCTTTACACTACAGTTTTTAAACTGCAACATTAACACCCCTCCTTCAGAGTGCAGGCACTGTACTTCCCATCTCCAGGACTCAAGTCCGGCCTGCCGGTTTCCCTGAATCCCTTCATAAATGTTACTTTGCTCACACTCCAACAGCACGTCAAGTATTAAAAACCATTTGTCTCCATTCACATCCTATCAAACAGCTCACGCATGCCTGCTGGAAGTCCAAGCCCCTCGCACACAAAACCTCCTTTAACCCCTCCCTCCAACCCTTCCTAGGCCGACCCCTACCCCGCCTTCCTTCCACTACAGACTGATACACTCTTGAAGTCATTCTGTTTCGCTCCATTCTCTCTACATGTCCGAACCACCTCAACAACCCTTCCTCAGCCCTCTGGACAACAGTTTTGGTAATCCCGCACCTCCTCCTAACTCCAAACTACGAATTCCTGCATTTATATCACAACCACACATTGCCCTCAGACATGACATCTTCCACTGCCTTCCAGCCTTCTCCTCGTGCAACATTCATCACCCACGCTTCACACCCATATAAGAGCGTTGGTTAAAACTATACTCTCAAATTCCCCTCTTTGCCTCAAGGACAAAGTTCTTTGTCTCCACAGACTCCTAAGTGCACCCACTCACTCTTTTTCCCTCATCAATTCTATGATTCACCTCATCTTTTCATAGACCCATCCGCTGACACTCCACTCCCAAATATCTGAATACGTTCACCTCCTCCAAAAAAACCTCTCTCCCCAATCTGATATTCAATCTTTCATCACCTAATCTTTTGTTATCCTCATAACCTTACTCTTTCCTGTATTCACCTTTAATTTTCTTCTTTTGCACACCCTACCAAATTCATCCACCAATCTTCTGCAACTCTCTTCAGAATCTCCCAAGAGCACAGTGTCATCAGCAAAGAGCAGCTGTGACAACTCCCACTTTGTGTGTGATTCTTTATCTTTTAACTCCACGCCTCTTGCCAAGACCCTCGCATTTACTTCTCTTACAACCCCATCTATAAATATATTAAACAACCACGGTGACATCACACATCCTTGTCTAAGGCCTACTTTTACTGGGAAAAAATTTCCCTCTTTCCTACATACAATACATACATACAATACATACTGTATTGTACAGTATTTATCACTTGTTAAATTTCTCTAGTGATATTTGGTAACCTTAAAGCACATAATTAAATTTTCCAAATTATTATTATAATCAAAAAGAAGCGCTAAGCCACAAGGGCTATACAGCGCTGCAGGGTAGGGAAGGAAGCGAGGGTATTGGATGGCAGAAGGGAGGAGGGATGATCAGTAGGTTACAGAAAACAGCGGGGCAGGGGATAGTACGGGGGTAGGGGGTAGCAAGAGATTGAAGTAGAAAGGGCTGAAGGTATCAGAATTTGTGAAGTAAGTCAGTTGTTGTCAAAAAGTCAATGGATGAAAGGTGGGTCCATCAGCGAGAAGGGAAGGTAAAGAGAGAGCAGCAGAGCGAAGACGACGACGGAGGTAAATTCTGCGTGCTAATTTTCCAAAAAAACTACATGGAACCTCAAAAATCGAACATATTACATATCGAACCTTTCGAAAATAGGACCATTTTTTCGGACAAACTGTGTCCCTATTATCGAACGCGCCCCTATTTTCGGACCGCCGGGTACGGGACCTGTCTGCCGCCCGCTGTCCGCGTCCCCGCGCATCGTGAGCAGTCTAGCTTTGTTTATGCTGAGTGAACACTAACCTGCGCTCTCATTCACGCATTTTATGATTATTTCGCTGTGTTTAGTGCTTGTGGGACTGTGAAATAAGCTGCCATGGGCCCAAAGAAACTTGCTAGTGGTACCCCTGTGGTAAAGAAAGTGAGAAACACCATAGATGTGAAGAATGAAATAATACAGAAGTATGAGAGTGGTGTGAGACTTGTTGAGCTTGCCAGGAAGTATGGAAAAAACAAGTCGACCATTGATTCTATCCTGTCAAAGAAAGAACAAATCAAGGAAGTTGATGTTGTGAAAGGTGTTAATATGCTAACCAAAAAAAAAAAGACCACAAATAGTTGAAGAGGTTGAGAAGTTGTTGCTGGTGTGGATCAAGGATAAAGAGACTGCAGGTGATAGTGTTTCAGAGACGATTATTTGCGAAAAGGCAAGTAAGTTGCATGCCGATCTGGTACAGAAAACTCCTGGAACCAGTACTGATAGTGAATTTAAGGCCAGCAGAGGCTGGTTTGACAGATTTAAGAAGCTTAGTGGCATACACAATGTTGTAAGACATGGTGAGGCAGCCAGTTGGTGGAGGACCACAGGGAAGAGCTAACCACTGAAGAGCTGCAAGAGCTTCATCTGGAGCAGTATCAGACCACAGCTGAGGAACTTGCTTCAGAGGAGGAAGAGGGAGTGGACAAGGTGCCTTCTTCAAAGATTAAGGAGATTTGTGCCAAGTGGAATGATGTCCAAATGTTTGTGCAGAAGTACCACCCTGAGCAAGCTGCAACAAGGACTGTGGACAGTTATTTTGTGAGACAGGGGTCCAGTGACTCTCAGCTGGTCCTAGTGGCATTAAAAGACAGAGAAGGGAAGTAACCCCAGAGAGGGCTTTACCTGAAGTCCTCATGGAGGAGGATTCTCCTTCCAAACACTAACCCCAACTCCCTCTCTCCTCCTCCCTATCTTCCAGATGCCATCACCAATCTTCAATAAAGGTAAGTAAAAATGTTATTTTATATGTATTACTATACATAATTAAAAACTATAGTATTTGTTGTATTTAAAACTGTAATTAATATCTATAAAATGTATTTTTTGTGTGAATATTTTTGGGTTTCTGGAACGGATTAATTGTATTTCCGTTATTTCTTATGGGAAATATTGCTTCGAATTTCAGACTTTTCGAATTTAGAACTAGTTCCTGAAACGGATTAAGTTCTATTTTTGAGGTTCCACTGTATTTATTTACTGTCAGTGTTTAATAACATTCAGAATCACTGTTCATATCCAGACAGATAACCATATTGTATTTGCAATCTATTTTTTTTTTCACTAATAAAGACTTGTTTTTTGCAGCGCAGTTGTTGTGGGAACAGACATGCTTGAACTTGACTGTCAACTTACTAGAGATGGTCATGTAGTGGTCTCACATGACTCTGTTCTAGATATTCGCACAGAGCTCAAAGGAGCAATATCAGAATACAATTATGCTGAGCTTCCTCCAATCAAAGAGCAGATCCCCATAGACTTCATGCCTGGCGTAACATTCAGTAGTAACAGTGAAGATCGAAGATTTCCTCTCTTGGAGGAAACCTTTCAGCACTTCCCAAATACACCCATTAATATAGACATCAAAATTGACAGCAATGAACTTATATCAAAAGTAAATATACTTTTTAATTCTGTTACTAGAAACTGTTGTTTATAGAAAGTACTGTATACAAATGGTTTATTGTGGACAATATTGAAGAAAAACACATTGCAGAATGAGATTTTATTGGGACAACATATCACTCTGTTAAATCATGTACGATTTGATATACAGGGCCCTGTATATACAGCACCTTCTTTTCAGTGTTCCATATTTTCGTTGGCTTCAAATTGAGCCATTGTTCATTATGTTCCAACCAATGACTCAGCTGAAAAACCAACAAAATTGTGGAACACCGAAAATAGGTGCTGCATATGCGTGGCCCTCCTGTAACTGACAGTGAAATGTTGACCCAATTAAAGTTTCTACAACCTGTTGTTTCTAAAAACAGTACAGTTCTGATATTTTTATGATCAAGTCTCTGCATTCATGCATGTTTATATAATTGATGCTCTTGGTTTTGTTTCATAGAACGTGAAAAAGTCATCTGCTTCAGATTATTCTCATATATTTACCTAACTTTACAATTTACAAAACAGGACCTATGTTAGAGAGCTACAGTATTCATGTCCTCATGTATTGGTCTTTTTTTTTTTTTACGGGTCACTGACCATTTTGCACAAGCTTACTTTTTCCTGTATTTCACATACAAGTCTTCCTTAGTTTTTGAGCACCCAAAGTGCTCACCTTAGTGCCACAACCTATCATCTTGCTCTGTTCATTTGCAAATCGATAATCAAACCACTTGATTTCTTATATCCTTTCCATGTAAATTTATTTTACCTAAAATGAATTGTTTTTAGTTCTCGCAAAACAATGATTATCAGGAGACAGTTCTGACAAATGGTCTTTGAGACTGTTGCCAATATGACATTTTCCATTGTAAAAAAAGTTTTAAAACAGAATTAGCAATTCTGGATTCATTATGGATATGCTGTATTTAGATTTAGAAAGGATACAAGAAAGAACTGATTTAGGAATCGAGTTGTGAGTTGGACAAACTGCCAAGTAACATAACTGAAGTGAAGATTAAGATATTTATTGGTCATTGGATTCCTCAGTGGTTCATAGAGCGCACTGAATACTGAATAAAACTTTGAAGAATAAAAAACTACCTCTTGTGAAGGGTTTGATGAACAAATGAGATCACATACCTAAATAACTGTTCATACTCTGGTTGTTTCAATAAGTCAGATGACTGAGTGCAGCTGAAGCACAGCAGTACAATACATACTACTACAGTAGTGCTATAAGGCTTCTTTGAAAATGTTTATTTATGTGATATTCATTTGACATTATTTTACCAGGTAAGCGAATTAGTGAAGAAATATCAACGTGAACACATAACAGTTTGGGGAAATATGAAGGACGTAGTAACCCAAAAATGCTACAAGGAGGTTGGTGAATTATGTTGGTTTGTTTTTAATGTACACAAGTTCAGAGTATGGGAGTTAGTAGATGGGGAGCAAGAATATTTTGAGGAACTTGTAAATGTTGATGAAAAAAGGGAGGCAGTAATTTCATGCACTGGCCAGGAAGGTACGTATAACGTCTTTTAGGAGTGAAAAAGAGCAGAATGCGAGTGTAGGGAGGTGTGGGAGGCATTACATAGAATGAAAGGGGGTAAAGCAGCTGGAACTGATGGGATCGTGACAGAAATATTAGAAGCAGGGGAGAATTTGGGGGAGGTATAGTAATAAATGTATGAAAGAGAGGAAGGTACCTAGGGATTAGCAGAGTGTATAATTCCTTTATATAAAGGGAAGGGGGACAAAAGAAATAAGTTGACTAAGTATACCAGGTAAAGTGTATGGTAGGGTTATTATTGAGAGAATTAGAGGTAAGACAGAGAGCAGGATTGCAGATGAGCAAGGAGGCTTTCAAATGGGTAGGGGATGTGTAGATCAGGTGTTTACATTGAAGCATATATGTGAACAGAATTTAGATAAAGGTAGGGAAGTTTTCTCTGCATTTATGGATTTAGAAAAGACATATGATAGAGTGGATAGGGGAGCAATGTGGCAGATGTTGCAAGTGTATGGCATAGGTAGTAAGTTACTAAATACTGTAAAGAGTTTTTATGAGGATAGTGAAGCTCAGTTAGGGTGTGTAGGAGAGAGGGAGATACTTCCCAGTAAAAGTAGGTCTTAGACAGGGATGTGTAATGTCACCATGGTTGTTTAATATGTGTATTTATAGATGGGATTGTAAAAGAAGTAAATATTAGAATATTGGGGAGAGGGATGGGATTAAATTATGGGGAATCAAATACAAAATGGAAGTTGACACAGTTAAGTTTTGCTGATGATAATGTGCTTTGGAGAATTCTAGAGAAAAGTTGCAAAGGTTAGTGGACGAGTTTTGGGAGGATGTGTAAAGGTAAAGTTGAAAGTGAACATACATAAGAGAAAGGTTATGAGGGTATCAAACGATTTGGATAAAGAAAAATTGGATACCACATTGGAGAGAGGGGGAGTATGGAAGAAGTTAATGTTTTCAGATATTTGGGAGTTGACTGTCAGCAGATAAGTTTATGAAGGATGAGGTTAAGTAAAAATTGATGAAGGAAAAAAGGTGAGTGTTGCATTGAGGTACCTGTGGAGACAAAAAAAAGTTATCCATGGAGGCAAAGAAGGGAATGTACGAGAGTATAGTGGTACCAACACTCTTATGTGGGTGTGAAGCATAGGTTGTAAATGCTATAGTGAGGTGGCGGCTGGAGGCAGTGGAGATGTCGTGTCTCAGGGCAGTGTGGGTGTAAATATTATGCAGAGAATTCATAGTGTGGAAATTAGGAGGTGTGGAGTTACTAAAAATATTAGTCAGAGGGCTGAAGGTGGTTTGATCATTTAGAGAGAATGGAACAAAGTAGAAAGATTTGGAGAGAGTATAAATCTGTAGGAAAAGGAATGCGGGGTAGGGTTGTCCCCGAAGAGGTTGGAGGGAGGGGGGTAAAGGAGGTTTTGTGGGTGAGGGGCTTGGGCTTCCAGCAAGCGTGCACGAGTGTGTTAGATAGGAGTGAATGGAGACAAATGTTTTTTGGGACGTGAGCTGTTGGAGTGTGAGCAGGGTAATATTTTGTGAAGGGATTCAGGGAAACCTGTTAGCTAGGCTTGAGTCTTGGAAATGAGAAGTACAATGCTTGCACTTTAAAGGAGGGGCTTGGGATATTGGCAGTTTGGAGGGACATCTAAACTGTTGTATCTGAGTTCATCTGCAAAGACTGATTATGTATGAATGATGGTGAAAGTGTTGAATGATCATGAAAGTTTTTTTTTCTTTCTTTTTGGGTCACCCTGCCTTGGTGGGAAACGGCCAACGTATTAAAAAAATAAAAAAAAAAGTTCAGTGATTCTCACTGGCAATCCATAGCAGCTTAAGATTTTTTATGATTATTATTGTCAAAATTGCATTAAAAAACAGGCAAAAAATGCATTTTAGGTAACATGATATGTACTAGGTAATTAACTTTTTAATTTTATTAACTTTGCCACTGTACAGTAGTATTGTAATACACATACGTAATTTGATACAACCCTACCGAGTATAACATGCAGGTAAATTATGTTTGTGCAGTACTGCATATCTCTGAAACAATTTCACTTTCACAAAGTACTGTACATAATTGTTACAAAATTAGGTGACATTTATTTCATACATTCTGAAATGCCTTGAGGTAGATAGAACATTTTAAAGTAAAACTTAAAACTGCTGAACATAATGTAGCTCTGTAAACAGTAATTGAAGTTAAATTTCCTAAATTCCAAGTTTAATAGGTTGTCTGGAGACAAGATTAAATGTAATGATAATTTTAAGTACTGTAACCAAACTTTGCATATTAAAACAGCAATGTTACTGTGAGGAGATAGTAATACAGGGGGAGTCATCTGAGCTGTGACATCATGCCTCTGGGAAGTGTGTGATTGAATAAATAACAATGAAACTTTTTTCTTCTTTTTCTGGGTCATCCTAGCTTGGTGGAAGAGTGTTAAAAAAATATTACTAAGAATTTATAATTATTGGGGGTACAAACACAGTAGTGGAAAGATGTGCATGTATGAAATATTGATTGGATTCTGCAAAAGCATGCTGCACTAGATTCTTATACCATACTTGGCATTTAACCCTTCCACTGTCTCATCCGTAGAGCTATGTCATTGGCACCAATATCGCTCGTGTACATCTACATTTTAAGCACAGCTCCCTCATATTTGCTGTGAGAGGTTAAATTTTGGCTTAGACACAAGGAAGTGTGTGCAGCAAGTGTGCACAATATAAAAAAAAGAATCCTGTCCCTCCCCTCCATGCAGTGCATGATGGGAAAAGCAAACCTCTGATCTTGTGTTTGTTTAAAATAGCAATTTTGAGTTTTTCTTCAGGGTGGTTTTTGTGATTTTATTGGCTTTTTCTCGGTATCACTTGATAGAAGACATAGTAGTGATGATTTTGATCAGTTTCACACCAGAAGTAGCTTATATTATTATAATCAAAAAGAAGCGCTAAGCCACAAGGGCTATACAGCGCTGCAGGGTAGGGAAGGAAGCGAGGGGATCAGGCAGCAGAAGGGGGGGAGGGATGATTAGTAGGTTACAGAAAACAGCGGGGCAAGGGATAGTGCGGGGGTAGAGGGTAGCAAGAGATTGAGGTAAAAAGGCGAAGGATCATCATCAGAGTTGTGGGAAATCTTGTTCCAAAAAGTCAATGAAGAGCCCGATAAAGGGGGGCCCCACACGGGGGGAATTAAAAGAGAGCAGCGAAGCGAAACGGCGTTGGAGGTAAATTCTGTTGCTCTTTATAAGGGGGGGCTCAACAAATGTGGGACCGATACAAGAACAGACAATTCCACAGAGAGGAGGGGGGACCTCTCCACGAGATATCCATGATAAGAGGTATACCAATCGAAGGGGGGAGAGAGTATCCCCCCAACTTTGACACTGATGAAAAGAAGAGGGCCATAACCTAACTCGGTTTATAGAACAAATTTTAATTATTGAGCAAGCAGACCAACTTTTGTTGCCAACGGGTGTAAGGTGGGTGCTATCAGCAAAATAGCCCCGGAAATGGAACACCTCATATGAAACGGGAAAGGGTCATGTACGCTACCCCCCAGCAGTGTCTGCCTGTTCATTGCCCTGTACATCAACAGACCGGGACCCAACAAAAACATCACTTTATGTTTGGTAAAAAAGGCAAAACCAAAGTTGGATACGGAACTGGGGGGGGGGTGAGGATGTAAAATTTTTTGTATACCGTAAAATTAAGGTAGCTGAAACAACCACAAATGATGACACAGGAAAAAAGGAAATACAAAAAATTGCAAGAAGGCAAAAATTCGCTGTAAAAAATGCACCCGAAACAGTAAATGCATTGCACGACACTGTCCAGAAACACTCTGCAATCGGACGCCATCAAAGACTTAGACCACTGTGTACATGCGAGGGCATAAAATGAGAGCAAAGGGGGTCAGAAAAAAGAGAGCGGGACAGAACCACCCGGGGAGGTACTACCGCCTGCCAAGTGAGTGTAAAACTAAAGCTGTAATTGTTTTACATGAGGAGGATTGCTGGTGTCTTTTGTGTTTAAATAAATATGCAAGGTTACAGATATGTCTTGCTATTTCTACTTACATTTAAGTCACACTAAACTACATTACACATTTATTTTTAACACTCACTGAGTTTTCTTTGATTTTATCTTAGTTCTTGTTCTTAGTATTTTTTCCTTTTTATCCGGGGAAGGGAATAAGAATCTTTCCTCCGTAAGCCATGCTGTTGTAAAAGTCAACAAAAATCCCGGGGAACAAGGGCTAGTAACCCCTTTTTCCTTAAAAAATTTTTAAAAAGAAAAAGAAGAAAGGGGGAAGCCCGAATGTGCGGGGATTTTGTGCGAATATAAAAAAGAGAAAATTTTGGGGTGTTTAAGAAAAAAGCTGGATGTCCTGGGTTTAAATAAACAAAACTGAAGGGGCGGGGTTTTTAGTGGAGAAAATTTAAAGGGGTTAGGTCAGGGGGGTTCAATAGATTAAAAGGGTAAAGAAGGAGTAGCAAAATGTTGAAGGATAAGCTAGGGGGAAAAGAGGACTATAAAGTATTAATTTAAGGGTTATTGGATAAAAAAAGGTTGATGTGAGAAGTGGGTTATATAAGCGTAAGCACCGGGAAAAGAGAAGTATAAAAAGAGAGATTTTGGGAAATGTTGAGTGAAGGTGGGAGTTTTTTTAAACCCAATGTGAGAGTACTTGTGGTTGGGGGTTTAATGCAAAGGGGTATTATTATTATTTTAATCAAAAAGAACGCTAAGCCCCAAGGGCATACAGCCTGCAGGGGAGGGAAGGAAGCAGGGGGTTGGAGGGAGAAGGGAAGGGGTGATCAGTATTAAGAAAACAGCGGGCAGGGGG